TTTGGTAGTCAAATTATGGCGTTGACGCCTTTCAATATTAGGTGATACATGATTTTCTAAATTTTCATGTATATTTGATTTTTGGCATATATTCTTTGCTCTCACCAAATCATGTATGTAATTTAATAGATCTAATCAAGTAGCTCTTTTTGAACGTATCTATCCTTTTTCTTCAGCATATTTATATAGGATGGATTTTAGGTATGGGAGTTCTTCACGGATTTAAGAGGCCATGGTCTGGCCGGTGTACGATGTCGCTTCTGCCATTGGGTGACAAATGATCGCAGCCCTACAACAATGAAATTTCATTTGAAGCGAAAACATGACACAGGTACCTTAGCAAATTTGAAAGAAAAATATCGTAATAAATACAGTTCGTTTAGGCCCCGGTGGATTATGGGCTATTTGTGAGGAAAAAATCAATTCACAAGCACCTGCCAATTATGCTCCTCGATCGCGAAAGGTTTGTTCGACGAAAACATCTCCGTCTCTCATATTTGCAGAAATAATATTTTGTTTGTTAAGTCCGAAGATGTGCTGCTAAAGGCGTTGACAAATCAACGGCATCAAATGCAAGCATTTAACCCTTTTGGAACGGCCGATGTAAAGATTGGAAGTAAGCTCGTTTTCGTTTTATCACAAAACTTATTATTCGTCCATAAAACATAGCACTATGGGATTTCGTACGATTGTTAATTTGTTCAAATGTTGAGGTAGACATGTAATCAAGCAAGAGATGATTAGGGTAGTTGAAAAAAGGCTTAGAAATTGAAAGCAAACTTTATTTTTTGACTTTTCTTTGGCAAATCAAACTCAGTTTTTAGCATCCCATTAGCTCCATTTGCATCGCTCCCATTTTTTAATTCCGTTGTTTCCCTTTACAGTGTCGGCTCAAGACGATTTTTTAACGTCGCTGATCCAACAAGCCACTAGTATGTCGGCATCTTCAGGAGAGGTGGGTTCAATGTCTCCTAATTTCTTCTATCTTTTGTGACCCCTATTATTTTAAGCAAGAGGCTCTCGGCTCACAAGAAAATGACGGTCTCTCCTTCTCGGAATCATTATTTTTAACAAAACTCAATGAAGGACTTGTAGGTTTTTAAGGCACACTGCGTAGACTTGTTAGCTTTTACACTGTAATATGCAGAAAGAAGAAGATGGTTCTTCCTCGTCTGCCAGCGGTCTCGTCTGCCCATCCGGTAGCGATTTTCAATTGAGTGACGGTGCCAGTATAGCTGCGCTTCTCCAGGTTATATAAACTTACCCTACTTTTTTTAAGAATTGAATTTGTACTCTACTACTTTAGATTGCCACGGACTCTGATTTGACATTCACCTTCAATTCAAGACGTTGCGGTGAATACTGTTTTGAGTCAAATAAGAAAAATGTAAGTGTGAGTTATGTTTGGTCTTACTTTTCCAATACTCACAGTCAGAATGAAAAGATTGCCTTTTTTTATAGTTAAGGACGCCTGGGGTGAGTTATATGAAGAAAAGCAAATGAATTTTGGCAATCTTAGAAACACTTCATAAAAATGCGTACTCTTCATCTCCTCTCTCCCTTTCGCTCCTTCCCTGCCCAACCGGTTGGCTATATTTTTTTGAACCTTTTTTTGAAAAGAATCATGAAAAACACATTTGTGGCTGACAGATGGGAAGAAGGTTTAGAGGGAATAGGGGTGGAGGAGGAGCGAAGGGGGAGAGAGGGATAGAAGGGAAGGTGTTCAAAATTGACGTCTTTTAAGCTAGTATTCTGCTTCATAATTCCAAATTCTTTAAAGAAGATTTATTTCTTAGGGACGCATGGTCGTCTTCGGTGACGCTGGAACTGAAATTCGCGTGGCTCAAAAAATAGGCGACGAAGAGGTAAATGTGGAAACTTGGCGAAAGAGTGATTGGCCTCAGTTCTGTTGGGCCGTTCGAGGAGCGTGCGTACATTTCCTAAAAGTCTAGCACTAGTCACTGTTGAGTGATTTCTTCGCGATTGGAAAATTCAGATGCGTAGTAGTTTTGCCTATCTTGTCATAATGTATGTATACATTTAGAATAGATTATTATGCTTCTGTTTATGTTGTTACCATATTGACGCGTATTTGCTCTACCACAAGCTCTTTCAATTTATATCCTCAAAAAATGTCTTTATGTAATGCTACGGTCCTTCTTTCCGGTTTTCAAGTTGTTGTGCTAAGTTGAGGATTGCTTTTCATATTGTTTTGAAACTTATAACACGACAACGACTTAATCCCTTGTTCTTTCATTTATGTGA